TATATGCAGAAAATTTTCGGAGTGTGGAAATTGGGAAAAGGTGTGGAGTTAATAAAAGTATTAGTAAAGGGGGCAGAAGAGGGTTGTTGAGGTGGTTTGGTCATTTAGAGAGAAGGGAACAAAGTAGATGACATGGAAAGCATATAAATCTATAGGGAAAGGAAAGCGGGGTAGGGGTCGTCCTCGAAAGGGTTGGAGAGAGGGGGTAAAGGAGGTTTTGTGGGCAAGGGGTTTGGACTTCCAGCAAGCGGGGCGGAGCGTGTTTAGATAGGAGTAAAAGGAGACGAATGTACTTGGGACCTGACGATCTGTTGGAGTGTGAGCAGGTAATATTTCGTGAAGGGATTCAGGGAAACCGGTTTATTTCATATAGTCGGACTTTGAGTCCTGGAAAGGGGAAGTACAATGCCTGCACTTTAAAGGAGGGGTTTGGGATATTGGCAGTTTGGAGGGATGTGTTGTGTATTTTATATATCTGTATGCTTCTAAACTGTTGTATTCTGAGCACCTCTGCAAAACAGTGATAATGTGCGAGTGTGGTGAAAGTGTTAAATTTAGATGAAAGTATTTTCTTTTTGGGGGATTTTCTTTCTTTTTTGGTCACCCTGCCTCGGTGGGAGACGGCCGACTTGTTGAAAAAAAAAAAAAAAAAATTTTTAAATATATAAATTTTAATTAATATAAATATATATAATATATAATATATATATATATAAATATAATATATATATAAAATATATATATAATAAACACAGAGGGGGTGAGATTTTAATCAACAAATTTTGTTGAAAATAAGAAAAAGTTTTGGAGTGAGATTAACAAGTTAAGAAAGCCTAGAGAACAAATGGATTTGTCATTAAAAATAGGAGAGAGAGTTTTTTAAAAGGGAGAGTTAGAGTTATTGGGGAAGATGGAGGGAATATTTGGGGAATTGTTAAATTTGATGAAGATAGGGAAGCTGTGATTTCGTGTATGGGGCAAGGAGGAAAACATCTTGTAGGAGTGAGGAAGACCCCAGTTGTGAGTGGGGGAAGTTCGTGAGGCAGTAGGTAAAATAAAAGGGGGGTAAGGCGGGCCGGGATTGATGGGATAAAGATAGAAATGTTAAAAGCGGGTGGGGATATAGTTTTGGAGTGGTTGGTGCAATTTTTTTAATAATGTATGGAAGAAGGTAAGGTACCAGGGTTTGGGGCAGAAGCTCAAGTTCCTTGTAAAAAGGGCAAAGGGAAAAAAAGAGAGTGCAAAAATTTGGGGGGAAAGTCTGTTGAGTATACCGGCAAAGTGTATGGTAAGGGGTTATATTGAAAGAATTAAGAGTAAGACGGAGAATAGGATGCAGATGAAAAGGCTTTGGGAAAAAGGTAGGGGGTGTGTGGACCAGGGTTTAGTGAAACTATAAGTGAACAGTATTTAGATAAGGCAAAAGGGGTTTTTTTGGGCATTTATGGTTTTTGGAAAAGGCGAACAGGGGGGATGGGGGGGCAATGTGGGGGATGTTGCGGGTTTTATGTGTAGGAGGTAGGTTATGAAAGCAGTGAAGATTTTTTACGAGATGGAGCTAATTTAGATATTAGGAAAGGGGGAAAATTATTTCCCGTAAAAGTAGCCTTAGACAAGGGTGTGATGTCACCTTTGGTTTTTAATATATTTAAAATGGGTTGTAAGAGAAGTAAATGCGAGGGTCTTGGCAAGGGGCGTGGAGTTAAAAATAAAGAATCCACATAAATTTGGGAGTTGTCACATTTTCTCTTTGCTGAGACACTGTCTTTTGGGGAGATTCGAAGAGAAGTTGCAGAGATTGTGGATAATTTTGGTAGGGTTGCAAAAGAAAAAAATTAAAGTGAATACAGGAAAAGTAAGGTTATGAGGATAACAAAAAGATTGGGATGAAAATTGGATACAATTGGGGGGAAGGTAGGAGGAGTGAATGTAAATTGGGGAAATTTTGGAGGGGAAACTGAGGGAGGGTTTAAAAAAGGGAGGTGAACAAAAATTTTGTGGGGGGAAAAGGGGGAGTGGGAAACAAGTCTGTGGAACAAAGAATTTGCCTTGGAGGAAAGAGGGGAATGATGAAGAATAGGTTTTACCAAGTCTTTGGGTTGAAGAGGTGAAAAATGTTGCAGCGGGAAAAAGGTGGGGGTGGGAGCATGTTGAGAGAATGGGGGTAAATAATTAAAGAAATCAGTTGGAATTAGGAGGGGGGGGGGTTCCAAAGTTGAGGGGGGGTGAGGAAAAGGGTTGTTGAGGTGCGGACGTGAAGAATGGAGGAAACAAAAAAACTTAAGAGGTGTATCAGTCTTTTGGAAGGAAGGCGGGGGGGGGTTGGCCAAAAAGAAAGGGGGGGGGAGGGGGTAAAGGGGTTTTGTTGCGAATTTTGGATTAGCACCCATCTGAGCTTTTGTGGATGAATGGGGAAAAAAAATTTTTTTTTTTGACTGTGGTTGGAGTGTGAAAATAAATTTATAATTAAAAAATTATCCCGGGAAAATAATTAAAAGGGGGGGGTTTAATTTATTTAAAATTAAATTAAAGATTTTTAAAATTAAAAAATATTAAAAATTTTTTTTTTATTTGGTTAATGATTTTAAAAATAAATATATATATAATATATATAAAAATTTATATATATATATATAAAATATATATATATAATTATTATATAATATATAATATATATAAATTTTTTTTTTTTTTTTTTTTTTTTTTTTCAACGAGTCGGTCGCTCCCACCGGGAGGGTGACCCAAAAAAAAGAAAGAAAAAACCCCAAAAAAGAAAATATTTTTATCATCATTCAACACTTTCACCACACTCACAAATTATCACTGCTTTTGCAGAGGTCTCAAAAAAAACAGTTTAGAACATATACTATAGAGATACACAACAAACCCTCCAAACGCCAATATCCCAAACCCCCCTTTAAAGGGGCAGGCATGTATTCCCTTTTCCAGGACCAAGTCCGACTATATGAAAATAACTGGTTTCCCTAACCCTTTCACAAATATTACCCTGCTCACACCCCAACAGATCGTCGGGTCCCAAGTACACGTCCCCATTCACTCCTAACCCCTCATGCCCCTTTGCTGGAAGCCCAACCCCTCACCCAAAAAACCCCTTTACCCCCTCTTTCCAACCCTTTCGAGGACGCCCCCCCCCCTCTTTCCCTTTCCCCCTATGATTTATATGTTTTCCCCATGTCATTCTATTTTGACCATTTCTCTAAATGCCCAAAACCACCTCAAAACCCCTCTTCTGCCCTCTGCAATGCTTTTATTAACTCCACCCTTTCTCCAATTTCCAAAACCCCCCAAATTTTTTCTGCAAAATATTACACCAAAAACATTGCCCTTAACAGACATCTCCACCCCCCTCCAACCGTCCCTGCTGCTGGCATTTACCCCCAACTTCACATCCATATAAGATTTTGGAACAAACATCTTTCATACTTTCCCTTTTTTGCCTCCAAATAACGTTTTTTGACTCCACATATACCTCAACGCACACCACCTTTTTTCCTCTCAACTATGATTAACCTCATCCTCATAAATCCATCCGCCGACACTCAACTCCCCAAATATCTGAAAACATTCACTTCTTCCATACTCCCCTCCCCAATTTGATATCCAATTTTTCTTTATCCAAATCATTTGATACCCTATCACCTTACCTTTTCTATGTTCACTTTCAACTTTCTACCTTACACACATTCTAAACTCATCCACTAACCTTTGCAATTTTTTTTTAGAATCTCCCATAAGCCAGTACATCAGCAAAAAGTAAAGTGTCAATTCCCATTTTGAAATTTGATTCCCCAAATTTAATCCCACATGCTTTCTGACATGCAGTGTAGTTTTTACTAAGTGTAAGAAAAAGTAAAAGACATACTAAACCTTGCAAATTTGGAAAATAGATAAACAAAATTTATGGGAATAAGCTTGAGGGGCCCGGTACAAATCGCCTTACCATAGCAAGGATAAGGAGGAAGTGTGAAATAAAAACCCGCGTAAAGTAGGGACTCCATGGGTACAATAAAGAGTGTCAAAACCCATGGTCTAAGTCTGTCAGCCTGCTAACAGCAATATCAAATATTGACAGAGCAAGTGTTTTAATCTTCAAAAGGAAACTGAATCACGCCTCCATTTAAATGTTGGGTAACCCGGGTGTCATGAATAGCAAGTTGCCAACAGCAACACCCGGGTTTAAAAAGGGCCCTCACAAAAAACCCTTTTTCCCAAACAGGTTGCATGGTAAAAATAACTCTTGAAACAATCAAGGGGCAATATCTGGCCTCAGGGAGACTTAAAATTAGAACCTTAAAAAATTTGATATCAAAAAAAAAAAAAAAGACCAACACCGTGACTAACAATACACAAATAACCGCACATTATGAACCATTAACTGTACTATTTCTAACACCTCCAACAAAACACTAAAAAGGGAATAAAAACACTTCAGAAAATTATATAGGTATTTTTGTATTTTTAGTTGACTTTTTAAAAAAGTAGTACAAAAATAAGCTGTGTCTGGATAAAACCCCCACACATACACATCGCACACACACATGCGCACACACACACACACACGGCACATACACACACACACACACAGGGGCCGGACTGACCCCCGCAACTTCAACTGGTGAGTACACACACATCAATATACTAAAAATTTTATGTGTGTATTGCTTAAAACTGAACAAGCAACAGCCTTTAATTTTACACAACATGACAGAGTTTTCAACACAACCTTTATAAAAAATTTAAAACTGAAATATACTGTGCACACACCCCGTTATAAAAAAGAAAAACACCCCAGACTACACCAAAGATTTTTAACATTCTTTAAACCCAAAGCATTTTAAATTTCATGGGTGTGTGGACTATACAATGAATGGGAGTTTAAAAACCAAAAAGAAATTTGTACGAAAATGGTTTTTTTACTCATGGGGAAGCACAAATCAGTAGGGGGGCAACAACCCTGAGACTAGAGGGAAACAATTTTAACCAAGTAAGTTTAAAGTAGCTTCAATTATTTGTATTAAGTCCCTCAACAGTATTTGTTTCACCAAGAACTTTTTAAAAAAAAAAAACTGAATGTATCAGATGAATGATCAAAGTACAGTATATTACACACGAATACATATGCAGAGGTGCAGCCAGACGATAGGGGGCTAATGGAGCTAATGCCTCCCCTACATGAAAATACTTTTTTTTAATTAATGGCTAATTTTTACTGGATTATATTGACCAGTGACCACGAAAGCACTATAAGAAATTTCATACATATACTGAAAATGATACAGTGGTCCCTCGTTTTTCGTAATTAATCCGTTCCTGGAGCCGTTACTATAAACGAAATTTACGATTTGCGAATCAATTTTCCCCATAAGAAATAATGTAAATACAATTAATCCGTTCCTGACACCCAGAAGTATTAAAACAAAAAAAAATTTACATGAAATATACATATAGTACATAAACAATACAATGGGAAATGATGAATGAAACATTAACAGCATAACACTTACCTTTATTGGAGATTCTTCTTAGTGTATGGGAGACAGGAGGAGGAGAGAGATTGGATTGTTTACAGTTTGGAAGGGGAATCCCCTTCCAGCAACACCTCAGGTACCAATTGCTTCTCTGGGGTTGCTTCTCTTCTCTGTTTCTTAATGCCACAAGGACCACCTTGAGAGTCACTCTAGTCCTGTCTCGCAAAGTAACTGTGGAGAGAGCTCTGTTTCTGGCGTCTCTTTAACACTTCCCGAAAATGGCCCAAGACTTTGTCACTGTGCATATTTCTCACCTTCTTTACCACAGGCTTGGCACTAGGAGCTTTCTTTGGAGCCATGGTAGCTTATTTAGTAATTGCAAGCACTAAAATGAGTGGAATATTATGAAATATTTCGTAGGAGCACTTGAGGGGACCTTCACTCACTGGTAAACAATGCCAGACTGGCTGGGTAGGGACGCCGCCCCGGCTCACACCGTGCGTACGCGTCCCAGACGAACTACTATTCGCGAGTCAACCTATGAAAAGCGAGTCCATGTTTATACGAAAATACCCATGATTGGCGAAATTTACGATTGCCGAGAACTACGAAAAGCGAGGGACCACTGTACTTTTAAAAATGGTTTTCTTTTTTTTTTTTTTTCAGTTCTGATCTCCCCATATTTCAATCCTGGCTGTGCCACTGTGTATGCCCCCATTCACAGTTTTATGTATCCCCTACTTTTACTTTCATATACTGTATATTTGCTGAATAAAGAATAAAAACATGTGCATGTTCAAGCAAAACCAAATTGCATACTGTATTTAATGTATATTGCCAATTCACAGCTTTCTGAGTAATTATCTGCCTTGCTCATTACTCAACTATAGTTCTAATACACAGCTGTACATACAAACTTTGTATGAGATATTTATAACTTGCAGGAAGGTAAAGAGAAAGCAATATGCTAATGTATTTCATGGAGTACTAACCCAAAGTGGATCATGCAGAATAAGGACTAGTGGAAACCTGATTCTCCTACCACCAACTGCACATAGGTTAATGGGGTTTCAAGCCTATCAACTACATGAGGGTCATTAAGGCTGTGTCACCTGATTGCTACCAATAAAGAATACCTTAATCCCTAAAACAGGGATTAAAGTAAACTCTTAACATACAAACACCGAGAGACATACACCTCTCACTGCATGCATAAGTCAGGTTATTGGTAATCTATAGAAATCAAGAAGACTATCCTGTTTATAAACCATGGAGAGTTAGTAACCCTGGATAACCCAAGAAAGCCAAGTAGTGTGGCTTATTTCCACTGAGGTCCTAGGGTCTTCTTCACTAGAATGCAACCAACAAAGACAGATCTAATACCTAGGTACTTATGAACACAGGCAACAAGTTTAAAGAAGCACGTGCAATGGCTTCATCTGACTCAGGGTTGAACCTAGATTTGATAAACTCTAATGATAAAAATAATAATATGTTAATAAAGTAACACTTTTACTCAGAAAATGCATAAAAGTGATACAATTTTTGCAAAAAGCCCATAGTATGCACAGTATTTTGGGCAGACACAGACTAGGACTAAAATTACTTAATATTGTACTAACACATACATTGGGTGTGGAGCTCTCTTAGCTTATGAATTCAGCACAAAGTACTGACAGGTAATATAAAAATATATACTATATACATATATATATATACAGTATGTACAAGTCAAAATTAATGTTTGGATGGGTGGGATTAAAATTACGATACAGTGGAAAGATAACCATTCAAAAAATTCCAATTTAAAGGCAGGAATGAAGAATGAGACATGGTGTATCAGTCTGTTAATTAGGATGACTCATATTGGATTTAAAAATCCATGCTAATTTTAATAGCTAAGGTATATAAGAGTTGTCTATGGCACTTTTAACCTGTTAAAAACTTCAACTAACATGAATAAAAGGCTTGTACCTACTAAAAAAAATTTGCCGAGTTTTATTCCAACAAATTTCAATAAAAAATTATGGCATGTGTACATCTATCTGTACATACTGCAAAGATAATTTAAACACCTGCTAGAGAAGTAGTAAGATTTTCACAATAATCACTTTATTATTGCATTTATGGAGACCCTCTTAACATGCTAGGTTATACAGTGCCTGGTATTTAGGTTTGACTTGAGGAAGGAAAAGGTAGCTCCAAGTCCTTGGATCAGTCGAGTTTTGATCAGCAGATTCCTACACGTCAAACCAATTATTGTAAGCTACTGTGTCAGTTACAGAAATTATCCAAGCAAGACAAAGAATGGGAAGATTGCACTTTAGATAATGAGAATGCTAAAACCAGGAACGTATCACAGTGGATGAAATATGGTATTTGTAGGGTGCCACAAGGCTTTGTATTTGTCTAGGTGTTTCTTATTTAAATCAATGACTCGGAGGATTTCCTTGTGTAATTATTATTATATTAAAGGAGAAGAGCTACACTTGCAGGGGTCATACAGAGCCTGTGGAATGGGAGGCAATCAGATTTGCTCCAAGGGAAGGACACATCCAACTCTTTGGATCAAGAGCCCCTAGCCTTATATTGGAATGGAGAAAAGTGATTTCAGTTGGAGTGTAAGCAAGGTACAAAACCATTTATGAAAGGATTCAAGGAAACTGGTTAGCTGGGCTTCATTCTTGAAGGTGGGAAGTACAGTGCCTTCACTCTGAAGGACGGTAGGGATGGTGCAGTCTGGAAGGTCATGTGACTTGTGATGATTGCATACTTCTGGCAAGATAACTGTTGAATAAATGACTGTGAATGAGTTTCTCCAGAAAAGGTAAGAAAAATTACTATACTGTACTGTTCTTTTAACTTTTTGTTTTCAAGTACTATAATTTATAGTACTGTACTGTATTGGTTTATTCTTAGTGTGTCCGGTAGTACCATCAATACAGCTGACTAAGTCTGCTGCATTGGTTATTTGTCCGTGTTGGGTAGTCCATTACTTCATCCCCTCAAAGGAAGTTCTTTGATGCTTGTGAGGGCACTGTATGGCCATTGTACCAGTCACTTTAATGCAACAGATTTTTGTTACAGCATACATGGCCTCTCCCTATTGGTCATTACACCAAGGTTTCACTGTACCTGGAAGTATTCACGCATTAAGAAAGCTAATTGCACAAGGGTCAGACAGTGCCTGGGGAATGGAAAGCAATCAGTTTCAATCCAAGGAGGCTGAAGAAAAGTCCAATTTCTTGGATCAAAAGCCATTCACCAGCATCAAGAAACCTCCCTCGAGAAAATAAGACTTCTCTATATGTCATGAAGGAATGGAAGATTACACATTAAACATAAATGCCAATATAGCTGTTTAAATCCATTAACAGTAAATCATCCATGATAATTACATCATATTAAAACAGAATCCCCAAAATGGTTGTCTGTCCTTATTATAATCATCTACAAATTTAGATTCAACAAATACGTCAGGAAACACTAAATCAATCTTAGTTAAAATATATGCAGCGATGATCAAGCTGAAGCACTATTCAATGCCACCAAAATACAGTATAGCAAAATTGTCGAGGTTAAAATCTAAATCACCATTCATAATACAAACCCACCCACTGGAATGATATTTTCACTCATATTCACACACACACACACACACTCTTGTACAATTATATACTACAATTAAAAAGCCAATGTATGGAAACTCAAAACAAACTTGCATAAAATATTTTAGTTTATACATATAAATATGATTTAGTACATACACATACAGTACATATAAAACTCACACTAAACACACACACAACCATGGTTTAACTTACAAAGTTTAAATTTTACATGGCATTTGAACATAAATTTTTAAATTTCTAATATTATCATTAATTTGAATTGAAATCTTTTGATTTAACTCTGGTTTCTGTCACTACTACATTACATTCTACCCTCTTATGTCATTATTATTATTCTTCACGTGGTTGCTTCAGAGGTTGTTATTGCTACTGGAGGTCTGCTGGCTCCTTTATGAATAAGAAATTCAAGATGGGCTAAAACCCTAAACATTTCTTGAGCACCTTCCTGGTATTGAATATGTTGTCGCAGAGTGCCCAGACTAGCATCAACCTCTGCCATAGCTGGCCCATCATCAACTTCTTCACCAGTTTCGGTATCACCGCTCTCTGCCAATTCTCCCTTTTCCTTGCCTTCGGTTTTAACTTTATCTACTTCAACATCCTCGTCTTCACTGTCTGAAGACTCTAAATCAGCACCAGTCACGGTAGCAATGATGTCATCATCATCCATTAAGTGACAAATTTGTACATCATCATCAAACATAACATATTCATCAAATGTAATCCCATCTGGAATTTTGAAGCCTTTGGATTTTAGTTTATGAATAAGCTCTAAATTCTCAGTTCCTAAATTTGTTTCTGGCATGAGATTCATTCCCCACAATGCATATTTTCCAATTCCTGACCTTTGAAAACTATTATTTATTGTTACATCTGTAACAGCATGCCATGCTGCAGCAAGTAAGTGAAGACATGCCAACAAATTTAAATGCATTTGTGACTGCTTGGACTTTTTCTTTTTCTTTGCACTTTCTTCTTCCATAAAATTGAGCAGCGTCTCTAATACTGCTCTTCGATAGTTTCTCTTTAATGAATGAGAGATACCAAGTTTACATGGGCCAATGAAAGTTTGTGGACTACTAAGTACTCTAACTGCATTTAGCTTAGGTGCCTTGGGATGAATGGGACGATTTGGTAATATAAGCAAAACTTTTCTATTTTGCTGTACAAACCATGAATCTAAGTCATGAAGCCATGCAGTAAAACTCTCAGTAGTCATCCACGATTTAGAGTTCGCCAAGTATTGTACAGGGAGACTTTTGACATTCTTAAAACATTTTGGTTTTGGATGCTTTCCAATTACTAATAATGGAAACTTTTCTGTTCCCGTCATATTTGTGCACATAAGAACTGTTACTCTGTGTTTGCTCTTACTCCCACCAGCACATCTATCGCCTTTGTAAGTGGAAGTTTTATTAGGAAAGATACGGTAAAGAAGTCCTATTTCATCTGCATGAAAAACATCATTAGCTTCAAACTCCATCAAAGCACTGGGCAAAACTTGACCAGTGAAGTCCCCTTTCAAATCATCCGAATCATCTTGATTGTCTTTATCTTTGTTCGGTTTTCCTCGACCAAGGACAATGTTCTTTCTGTGTTTGAATCTATCAAGCCACCCATGTGTGGCTTTAAATTCTTTATAGCCCAACTTGACAGCAAAATCCTTGGCTTTCTGACAGAGTATAGGACCAGTAATTGTTATGTGCATTTGCAATGCTTGTTTGTACCATTCATATAAAGCCTCTTCCACATCTTCCCTTTGTGCTCCTCTCAATCTCTTACTATCTGGATGAAACTTTCCATTTTTCCATACGCCAAGAAATTTTTCAGCATGTTTCATAATAAAACTAAGAGTAGACCTCCCAACATTATACTCCATAGCTAAATCAACCTGTTTTTCTCCTGACTGTATTCGACGTATAATCTCCACTTTCGTCTCTAAAGACAGTGCACCACGTTTCTCACCTGTATGTGCAATCAGATGTCTTCTAAATTGATACTTTCGAAGAAATCTTATATCACACAGATTACATACGTAATATTTTCTTCCTTCTATAAGAACAGGTTCTGGAACTTCAATATTTACTTTTCCTACTGCCTCTCTACTTGTACCTTCACCTAGTGTATCACCATCTGTGGTAGTTTTTTCTTTTTTGTCTTTAGATTCTGCCTCAGATTTTCTCTCTTTCTTTTTCTTCTTCTCTTGAGGTTGGGCAGGTATATTTCCTGAAGAATCTAATGCCAAACCATCTTGAACAAAATGCATTACAGCTTGGGTGACAGCTTGAGTAACTAGGCTGTTAGATCCTGTTGATGGGTTTAGAGATGGCTGTGTAAGTGGGATTCCACTGTTATTAGCATTAACAGCTTTGGTGTCAGTATATTGAATGCCTGCTGGAACAGCAGAACTATTACTCGATGCAGCAACAGTCCCATACTGTTGTGATCTATTGGTGACGTGAGGAAAGTTAGAGCGGTCTACAGCATACTGTGAATTCCTTGAAACTGTGTGAGCAGGAGATATAATGTGCTGATGCTGTGTTGTTGCTGTAGGGTGAGGAGGCCGAGACTGATCATATACAGTTCTGGGCTGATACTCGCTCAGCCTTGCTACTGCATATTGTGCTCGTGAGAGGTCGTAAGGATCTGGGTACTGTGGCACTATTGTAGGAGCCAAGGTGCTTGGTGGCACAGCACTTGGCAAATGATGAGCAGGCACTGGAAGAGAGTCCGAGGAGTACCCCATTGTAGCTGCAGCTGCTGCCAGCCTTTCTAAGTCAGCACAAGCTGCTGTTGTTAAACGCTGCATATCATCCATGATGAAGCACACTCACTATCTGTAAAGAAATTACAGTTTTGTAATAACAGTAGGCCTTTTAACTTTCAATGCTTATACATTATGTGAAATATAGATCATCTGAAGATCCACTTTCCCAATATGTGAACTGTAATTATGCAAATTCTTAAGAGGTTATGCAAATTACTTTATACTAAGTAAATCTTAAAGTTAGGTTAGGGTCTTGGTTAGTTTTCATGGCAAATAAACACTGGTATATTAAAAATTTGCAAAGCTATATTTCATTGTTTTCCATGGAGGGAAGGGGTGGGGGGTTAATCTTCAGGTGACCCCCCAAAAAATTTTTGTCCTATATTACCATACAAAGTTTAAAAGAAAATAACAACAAATTATTCATACTAATGACACTCAGTATAATACTATATTACTAATTAACGCGCATAACTATTTTACACTACAAAGTTTCTCGTGTGATAACTAAAATACCTAATTATGAAATATGCTGTAAAAGGCTGTCAACAAGGAACAAAGTCAGAAGGGTTAAATAAACAAAATTCTAAAGTTGAATGTTTCTTTATTAAATTCAGTACAATGGCTGGATACAGCAGCAGCGCTGTTGATTGAAGATTAAGTATTCATCGTCATTAGCGCTTATGTCCGCTTCATACTGGAAAGAGAAAGATGACATGAGAAGAAATATGAATATACGGCAGTATAACTGACACCAAAACAATTTCAACTCAGAATGGCTAACATATGCATCTTGATTCTTACTAACAGTACATGTACAATTAGCAGTCTTAATTTTTGAAAGTCGAAGATTGCCACAGAAAAGGCTACAAAATTGTACCTGTGCCATTCTTCTCATACAGTGCTCAAGATGCCCATGTGCATGATCCGAGTTAAAAAAAATCCATGATTTCTGCAATACTGCCGCAAGCCTTCCAATTATTTATTATAGACCCAACGGACTTTGTTCCAAGTGATTACCCTAGTAGTATTCTTTTCACTAACCTGGTGCTCACATGGTTACTGCTAGTTGTCCTCCGCCTAAAATAAAAAAAAGTACAGAACTTTAATTAAATATAGCCACAAATTTTCTAAATTACTCAAGAATTACTTCATTAACATTTGACAATTACAGTACCATATTTTGCTATATTTTGACATCACTCATCAGAAAGTAAACACTTATACCAACAACAAATCGTGAGTTACTTACCATTTAACTTTTTTTTCCATTGAGGTGTAAACTGCAGTATTTGACTGTCTTGGATGGGGCTCTTCACGTCTTGTACCAAGTGTTCAAAGATCTTCGTAATTACAGCAATGTACTGTATCTGAGCCTGTGATTGGTATACATTGTATGCTAAAAAATGTATAAAGTCAGGGGGTGGCACCAGAATTCCTGTACTGGGGGCTTAGGGGTGGCTATCTGGTTGGGAGGGGGGCTAGAAGACTTGTTGAGAAGCAGTGTTTTTATTATTACTCTCTTATTTGGGGGGCTGAGGGAATATTGGGGGGATTAAAGCCCCCCAAACCCCTCCTTGCTGCTGCCCCTGCATGAAGTACTCACTGCAAATTAAACAATCTGTACTTAAAACTTGTTAACCTAACACTATAAATGGAAAAGTGTTCTTATAAGACCAAATGAGCTGGTAGTTAGGTAACTAAATAGAATTTGATGTCCATGTTAGCACAACCATCCTCCAAAGTTTTTCTTTAATTACATTTTACCCTTGCAATTTTTATTTTTCCCCATTCTTTGACTGCTATATTTTCCTGTAATTCTTTAAACAATTAAACTTGATAAAAGCCATATAGCATGTACTAATAGGATATTCAATTCTCTTGTATTCATTTTGTGGAAAATATTGTGCATTTTCCAAAATTATAGTGCATATGAAATACATTGTTGTTGGTTAAAATTAATTTGGGAATTAAAAAGGGAACCAGCAAACTAGGAGTGTCGGGCAAGAAAGGGACACCATATTGGAATTGGAGAAACAAGATGACACTGAAAATTGAGGGAATTCTTCAGACATTTTTTTTTTTTTTTTTTTTTTTTCAAAGAACTGGATGTATCCCACTGAGGTAGGGTGAATATCAAAATGGTATACAGTACCAACAGGTTTCGTAAGTAAGACACACAGGCAACAGTTAGGCAACTTTAATTCAGATTAAAGTTGCCTAACTGTTGCCTATGCGTCGTACTTACCGAGGCAGGGTGACTATCTTATCTAGTTTTAATGAGTTACTATGTATTAGGATTAGTTTGCCCGAAATGCCTTGGCATGATAGTGGCTATCTTTGTACTTAGCAAATCAAAATTGTAATTACACATTGTAACCTTTACAAAGAAATAAACTTTATTATTATATTATTAATAATAAAAAAAAAAGTTTTTTTTCTTTTTGAATTTAGTAATTTAGACAGGAGAAGAGGTTACTACCTCTTGCTCCCAACATTTTAGTTGCCTCTGCTGTATAGCCCTTGTGGCTTAGCGCTTCTTTTTGATTATAATAATAATTTAGTTGCCTCTTATGACATGCATGGGTTAAGGAGGAAGAATTCTTTTCCACTTCCCCATGGAGATGAGAGGAAATAAAGAACAAGAACTAGTACAACTTAAAATCAGAGAAACCAGAGGGGGAGAGAACTGGAGGGGAGGCACTTCACAAAACCCAGTTTTTTCCCTTCATGGTAACTAAATTGTCTATCAGGTATGTCTGCAATGTTCTCACCTCACACACAAAGTATCCGTGGTTTAATCCCCGGCACTGGTGGAAGTGTTGCGCATGTTTCCTTACACCTGCTGTCCCTGTCCACCTAGCAGTATGTAGGTATCAGGGTATTAGTCGACCAGTGTGAGTTGCATCCTGGGGACAAGATTGAAGGACCCCAATGGAAATAATACATACAGTCCCCAATGACACACTGATTTTCTTGGGTTATCCTGGGTGCCTAACCCTCCGGGCTAAAACTCCGAACATTTCTCATCTTATCTTAATGTCTGAAGAAAATTCTACATATCGACACACACTTGTGAAATCTGACATTTTTATTTACAATGCGCTAGAACCATCTGGCTGTTGAGATCATTATCAATTTTCTTCTATCATTACCAGCTTTCTACTCTACTATCAATACCAGTTTTCCACTCTACTATCATTACCAGCTTTCCACTCTACTATCATAATTTACTGTCATGATACAGAAATCATCATTACAAGGCAATCAAAACAAATCAAAGAAAATTACTTTACTCGCATTACATAAACTAAGTCACTGATCATGCCACAAAAAAATTTAGACAAAAGGGGAAGTACCCCTGCCATATACTCTGAAAAAAAGATGCTGGGGTCTTAGGAAAGCACCCAGTGGAGGACAGTGGGCCATCGCCATAAGAGAACTCTACCCTTGTGGTACACACCGCTCCAATCCCACCACTAGTTACTTGGTGGAGGAGACAGGTTTGAATCCTGTTGGGGATACATATGTTTCTGCCCGAAATGCTTTGCATAACATGGGGCATTCATTCTATAATGATGTTATATGTACATGTCAATCACCCTAATTGTATAATACAGTGGACCCTCGGTTATCGGCTGTTCCACTTATCGGCCATCTCGGTCATCGGCCATTTTTTTAGCTTCTGGTTATCGGCTGTTATTTTGCTTATGGGCCGTATGGGACGTGTCAACCCGCTGCCGCCAGCCGCTCGTGCGTCAGTCTGGCTTTCTCTCTGGGCGAGTGAGGAAGCTTCTGCTCATTCATCCAAACATTACGCTATAATATGGAGGGAGTGTAGCAGGCATCCAGGGAGTGTAGCATGGAGGGAGGACGTGTAGCAAGCATGCAGGGAATGTAGCAGGGAAGCAGGGTGTAGCAGGCACACAGGGAGTGTAGCAGGGAAGCAGGGTGTAGCAGGCATGCAGGGAGTGTAGCAGAGAGGCTGGGAGTGTAGCAGGCAGGAAGTGTAGTAGGGAGGCAGGAAGGGAAGTAACCCCTGGGAGGGTTTTGATACTTGAAGTCCTTATGGAGGGGGATTCCCCTTCCAAACACTAATCAGTCCTCCCTCTCTGTCTTCCATAAGCCAACAAGAGTCTTCAATAAAGGTATGTAATAGTGATTTAAATGTTCATTTATTTATTTTATTTAGTTCTCATTGTTTTGTGTACATAAAACTATAATTAATCTTTAAAAAAAATATTCTTTTGTTAATATTTTTGGGTGTCTGCAACGGATTAATTGTACTTACATTAATTCTTATGGGAAATATTATTTCAGTGTTAGGCCATTTCGGTGTTAGGCCGACCTTCTGGAATGGATTATGGCCGATAACCGAGGGTCCACTGTATATACTGTATACTCTACTTTTTGTTTAAGATGAGCCACATCAGGGGGATCCCTTGAGAAAGGGGAGTTTTGATAACAGAGGGTCCCTTGAGAAAGGGGAGCCCATCAAAATGAGCCTTTCAAAATCTCTCAAATATAATACATGAAATGGGTTCATGCAATGTGAGTTTCCTTGTCAGTGAATTAAGCTAAAACCAAAACTTGAACCAAAGCAGAAAATATAACTTCAGTAGATTTAAAAAACCTCAGCATTCTGTATATTACAGTAGGTGTCTTATAGTTTAATAGTTGACTTATAACCAAAAAAAGATTTATATTCAAATACTGGACAAAGTGAGGTAATGAATATGGAAAGGGTAAGATATATGGAAAAGGGAAGACATATGGGCAAGGTAACACACCTGAGCAAGGTGTGTACCTTTGTATGAGCAAAGCAAAATGCAAAGGGAGACATGGGCAAGGTGAGTTGTAAAGGCAAAGCAAGATGTATGGGTAAAGCGAGACATATGGGCAAGGGGAAAACATTCAAAAAATGGCAGATGAAGTTCACTGTGGACAAGTGTAAAGTACTAGTCCTTGGTAATGAAAATAACCCAAGAAGTTATAAACTAAGTGAAGTAGAGTTTGATCATACAGAATGTAAAAAAGACTTGTGAGTCGTGGTAAGCAGAATGTGAAAAAGACTTGAGTCATGGTAAGCAGAAATCTAAAGCCAAGACAGCAGTGCCTAAGTGTGCACAATAAGGCTAACAGAGTACTAGGATTTATTTCAAGAAGAATAAGTAACAGAAGTCCAAAAGTTATTTTACAGCTCCATACAACACTAGTGAGGCCTCATATGGATTATGCCGCTCAGTTTTGGTCTCCTTACTACAGAATGGATATAGACTCATTGGAGAACATACAGAGAAGAATGACTAAAATGATTTACTGTATAAGGAATCTCCTGTGTGAAGATAAACTTGGAGCCTTGAATATCCACTCTCTGGAGGGATGTAGAAAGAAGAGAGATATCATCGAAGTGTATAAGTGGATGACGGGCATAAACAAAGGTGATATTAATAAAGTGCTGAGGATGTCAAACCAGGTAAGAGTCAGAAATAATGGATTTAAGTTGGATAAATTTAGATTTAGAAAGGACATAGGTAAGTACTGTTTTTCGAACAGAGTTGTGGATGTGTGGAACAATCTTCCGAGTAGGGTGATAGAGGCTACGACCTAGGATAGCTTCAAAAAGACATTGGACAAATACAGTGGAATCTCAAAAATCGAACTTAATCCGTTCCAGGAGCTACTTCTAAATTCGAAAAGTCTGAAATTCGAAGCAATATTTCCCATAAGAAATAATGGAAATACAATTAATCCGTTCCAGAAACCCAAAAATATTCACACAAAAAATACATTTTATAGAGATTAATTACAGTTTTACATACAACAAATACTATAGTTTTTAATTATGTATAGTAATACTTATAAAATAACATTTTTACTTACCTTTATTGAAGATTGGTGATGGCATCTGGAAGATAGGGAGGAGGAGAGAGGGAGTTGGGGTTAGTGTTTGGAAGGAGAATCCCCCTCCATGAGGACTTCAGGTAAAGCCCTCTCTGGGGTTACTTCCCTTCTCTGTCTTTTAATGCCACTAGGACCAGCTTGAGAGTCACTGGACCCCTGTCTCACAAAATAACTGTCCACAGTCCTCTGTTTCTGGCACCTCTTTAACATTTCCCTAAAATGGGACATGGTTCTGTCACTGAACTTGTTGCAAAGATGGCTTGTTTCAGCTTGCTCAGGGTGGTACTTCTGCACAAACATTTGGACATCATTCCACTTGGCACAAATCTCCTTAATCTTTGAAGAAGGCACCTCATCCACTCCCTATATTAACACCTTTCGCAACATCAGCTTCCTTGATTTGTTCTTTCTTTGACAGGATAGAACCGATGGCTGACTTGTTTTTCCCATACATCCTGGCAAGCTCAACAAG